ATCATACCCTTATCTGAAACAAATTGTGACAGACGCTGGTTGACATACTCCGTACCATTGTTAGATCTTAATCGCTTAATACTTTTACCAAACTGTGTCTCGATCATTTGATAAAATCGAATAAACAATTCTCGTACTTCTGACTTGTCTTTTATCAAGAATATCCATGTCACCCGAGTGCAATCATCAATAAAAGAAACAAACCACCTAGCACCTGAAATATTATGTACTTTAGAAGGGCCCCAAACATCCGAATGGATAAGAGTAAATGGCTCAATACTCTTTATTGAACTTGAAGGAAAGGGCACACGGTGCTGTTTCGCAAGCTCACAAACATCACAATGAAAGGAGTCAATTGACTGATCCTTAAACAAAGAAGGAAACGTTGACTTCAATAAGCCAGATGACGGGTGCCCCAGGCGTTTATGATGAAGCCAAATCTGTGAGAATGAAGTAGACGGGTGATGACTCATCAATAATTGATTCCCGGTATTGCTTGTAGCATGCTCTGGAATGAGATAGTACAACCCACCCTGCTCCTTAGCAACTCCAACCGTCCTCCCCGTGGTGATATCTTGAATAACACAATGGGTAGGAAAAAAGGTGACAACACAATTCATGTCAGTTGTAAGCTTATAAGTGGAGATAAGATTGGTAGAGAGCTGAGGAACATAAAGAACATTTTTTAAAAATAAGGAAGATTGAATTTGAATATTACCAGAACCCACAACTAATTTTTGGGATCCATCAGCTACAGCTATAGTACGGATACCACTAGTAGGGTGATATGAAAGAAAAAAACCAGCTAGACAGGTCATATGATCAGTTGCACCAGAATCCATAATCCATGAATTTTTGAAATCGGTGCAAGAAGTAAGAAGAGATGTAGGGTATGTGATCTTACCAAACATAGTCGATCAAAACAGTAAAATAAAATAAATTTCTCTTTCTCTTCCATTTTTTTTTCCTGATGAACAGTACCGATGAACAGTGCGCGTGAACAATACCGGTGAACAGTACGTACTTTTTTTTCTTCCTGAGCTGCTCCGGTCGTCTGATGAATAAGAAACCTGAGAAAACGGAGTGAAATAGGGGTTCTCACGATTCAAAAGTTCCCCGGAAATTTTCTCCCGCCGGCGGCTTTGTGGCGGCGAGAGGCAAATAGGGTTTGGTTTTTAAAGGCGATGATTTGCGGAAACAGAGCCCTCAGAATCGAGAGCTCTGATACCAACTAGAAAATAAGATTTGTAATATTATTGAATTGTATAATATTTGTACAAGAGTTCTCTATTTAAAGAGACTAAAAAACCTAATGGGTTAAGCCCAAATACACTTAGAGTATTCTAACTATTACAAAATAATAATAAAATAATTCTAATATTTACAATAGGTTGCAGGAGCAGGGCCATCAAGATGAGCAATCTTATTGCGACTCTTGATCATAGTTTGAATAAGCTAAGACCATGATAAATAATTCCACCTATCAAGTCGATAACTCTGATGTAGAGTAGGAAAATCATTAGGACCAAGCGGGGTCGCAACAGGCTGTGCAACAAGTTGTGCAACAGTCGAATAATCATCGGAGTTGGCCATAATGCGAAAAATAGATAAAAAAACAGCAACAGGAGGCATAAAAACACACAAAAGCACACCCAAACGGCTTCTGACTCTGGCGATGAACAGTGCTTCCGGTCGGCGATTGATTGGGAAACATCCGTAGACTGATAATCAATGCCATAAGTCTATATGTAACCCTTGGCTATTAATTGATCCTTATACCTGTCAAGAGTACCATCTGATTTATATTTCAGATTATAAGCCCATCTATACCCAACTGCTTTGTTTCCGCTTGGTCTATTAATAACTTCCCATGCTCTATTTTTCTCCAAGGCATTCTATCGTCATGCATGGCTTGAGCCCAATTCTCATATTTTAATGCTTCATGCACTGATGTCGGGATTGAAATGCGATCGGGTGCTGAAATAAAACTTTTATGATGTATAAAAAGTTCCTTAAAAGAGACAAAATGAGAGATAGGGTGTTGGGTACAAGACTTTTTCCTTTTCTTTAAGGCAATGCATAAGTCATTAGGATTTATAATACTAGGCTCAGGAATAGAAATTGAAGTGCATTCAGTACTCACCGGTGTTCAGGCGATTGCATGCTGGTGGGGTAGTGTGGGTTGTTTCTTCCTCTTATACAATAATTCGGGTGTCCCAACCTTTTATAGATTAGCCTTCTGTATATTGTTAAGGGGAGGTATGTTGGATAAAGTATCAGATGAACTTCGAGTCTTATCAACTAGGTTTTCCTGCTCATTATCATGTAATGTAGTAACTAGGGCAGATTAAATAGAGTCTGACTTAGGAGGTTTGGGAAAAGGTAAGTGGGACTCAATCTTGAAGAAAATGGACGAAGCTTCTAAAGTAGTCTCCTCTTGAAGCTGAGGACGAGTGAAGAATTACTCAGATTCATTAAAAGTGATATCCATAGAGACAAAAATCCTGCGACTCAGAGGATAATAGCACTTGTACCCCTTTTCGTTGGGGGCATATCCCAGGAAGATACACTTGAGAGCTCGGGGATCCAATTTACCATGGTGCTGTTTATGAACATTGATGAATGCAACACACACAAAGATGCGAGATTGAAGGCTTTGCATAATAGGGACAGATGGAAAATGAGAGGTCATGAGGTGAATAGGACTTACATTTCCAAGAATCTGAGAGGGTAACCAGTTGATCAAATATGTTGTAGTCATCACAGCCTCTCCACAATAGGAGTTGAGAACAAATGTCTGGAAAAGTGATATTCTAGTAACTTCAAGTAGGTGATGATTTTTCCTCTCAGCAACCCTATTCTATTAAGGGGTAACTACACATGTGAGCTTATGAACCATGTCGTTGTCCTTAATAAATTGTGTGAGTTGCTGGTTAATGTATTCAATATCATTATCAGTCCATTGTCTTTTAATATTTTTCCCAAATTGGGCCTCAACCAAGTGATAGAATTTAATGAATAACTGTGGTAGGTCTGACTTGTCCGTCATTAAGAAAATCCTAGTTACTTGGGTACAGTCATCAATGAATGAAACAAACCACTTAACACCTGAGATATTATGTACTTTATATGGTTCCCAAACACCAAAGTGAGCAGGATCAAATGGTTTGGCAAATTTATGGAGCTAGAAGAAAAAGATATACGATGGTGTTTTGCAAACTCAGAGACATCACAATGAAGTGATTCAACAGACACGTACTTGAATAGGGTCGGAAACAGTTTTGAGAAGACTAAAAGGTAGATGCCCCAGACGCTTGTGTTGAAGACAAATCATAAGCCACCAACAACTGTTCCCGGGCACTATTTGCAACATGTTCTTGTAGGAGACAGTACAACCCACCTTGTTCCCTAGAAACTCGAATTGTCCTCCTCGTGATGAGATCTTTAAAAACACAATGTGTAGGAAAGAATATTACACCCCTTTTTGTTGTGAACGGAGAGAAGATTATGAGAGAGTTTGAGAACATGGAAAATATCTTTTAGTTATAAGGAGGGTTGAACTTGAACGGTACCAGAACCCACAACTGATTCGTGGGATCCATAAGCGACAGTAATACTACAAATACTAGTGATGAGTTAATAAGAGAGAAAGGTATCAAGCGGACATATCATATGATTAGTCAAACCAGAGTCAACAATCCACAACCTTTCAAAATTAGTGCCAAAAGCCAAAAAAGATCGAGTACGTGTGTCCTTACTAGTCATAGCATGAGAGCAAGAGTAAGATGTCTTACTTAAGATATCCAAAGGATATGTTAGAGAATAGTATAAACTATTAAAAAGCCTTCACCCACCAGCTTAAGCTTTTGGGTTGAATTGGTTCTTTACATGGTATCAAAGCCTCGTGTCTCAGGTTCGATCTTCATCGCCCTCCACTTTCTCTTGTGGGATTTCTTAGCACAAGTAGCTGGGTTGTGCCTTGTCCAGCCTTCCAGGCCCAATGGGCTTTCGTATGAGGGGGCGTGTTAGAGAATAGTATAAACCATTAAAAAGTCTTCACCCATCAGTTTAAGCTTTTGGGTTGAATTGATTCTTTACAGGATCCACAAACTAGAGCACTGACTTTCTTGAGTTACCGGAGCTCCCTAAACAATGATATAAACTTCAGATCTGAGGAATGAAAGCCTAAATGAACCAAAAAGATTCAAAGCTTTATGGGAAAACAAAGACCCACAACCCAAATGCTATCGGATCGAAAAGATGAGGATAGATCTGAAAATTTTGAGTGAAAAAGTTGCTTTCCTGGTGGCAACTGGTGACTGGAATAGTGACCGGAGGTTGAGGCACAACAGCTGCGCAAGAGGATCCGCACTAAAGGAGGTGACTTGGATGTACTAAAGGCGTAAAGAAAGAACCGAATTAGAGGCAGTGGCTGTGGAAGCAAAAGGCTCCTAGATCGGGAGCTTTGATGCCAACTTGAATGGAGAAAATTTGAAAATTATTATTGATTTTCAAAAGTACATGTACATAGAGATACAATATATATAGAAAGACTAATGGGCCTAAAGGAATAAACGCAAATCCTAAAAAATAATATAACTACTAAAGGAAACATAATTTGATTAATGAAGGAAACAAATATTACATATATTTTCCATTTTTACAACAAAGATCTTTCTTTTCTTTTTTTTTGAATTTTATTTATAAATAAAGAAGTGGAGTGGGAGAATCAGCCGTAAACTCCCTCTGCTATGTTGATAAATTAGGGAATGAGAAATTGAGGTCACAGCTTGAGTTTTGACAAATATTATACGATAAAGAGAATCATAAAGGTTTAAATTTTGACCTTATTTTGAAAGGTTTATCACTTACAACTAAAACAGCCCACTGTTTGAGATTGATGGGCATCTGGCTTTTTGTCTGTTCCTTGTCTATAAGTACTACTTTATTCCATTCTTGCTTTTGGTAAGGCATTCAGTTGATCATGGTTGCCTATGCAGTTTTCAATATACAAAGAAATCAGAGAAAGATTTACTGGGCAATTATGGCTTGATGTTGTGTCCAAATCTGATTTGTTGAAGACGTCTCCTGTGGTCTATGCAACGGAAGAGCCTTGTCCCACACAACCAGAGCTGGAGAAGTACCGAAAATCAGGTCCTGATGGAGCTATAAGTGTATCTGTGAAAACACAAGAAGGACTACATGAGGTGAGGAGAATCTGTTCTAAATTTCCATATTTTCACTAGAATCTTTAATAATATGGGTGCATGTAAGAATAAAGTCATGGTAGTGAATTTCAAATAATGGATTTCACTAGTTGCACAATGACCTTGTTGATGCTGGCTTATGGAATTCTTTACAGCTCAACTTGTGAAACTAGAAAGCCTTGTGGTGGATAGAAATTTTTACTTTCAAAGGATAGTTAGGGCTCGAATCACCTCATAGAGGGTAATGTTATCAAAGTTTAGTTAAGATTAAATATGCAAGGGTAAGGATGTATATAAGAGGTTAATAATGTAGATACACTGTATAAGGACCAGGCCTAGGACTAGGTCACGCTAAATGATTATATCGTGGAGCTTAGGTAGAGAAGTAGGAAAAGGTAATATTAATACTAAGGAATAAAATGATATTGGATTTTATAAAATACAAAGCACTAACATGTATTTCTGTGGCCAAGTTTATTAAGTAATAAGGGTTATTGCTTTTATTGTGTAGCTGAAGCATAGAGTGCATGAGCTGCTTAATTTGCAGATGGCCAAGATAAAAAGTATAAGCAACAACCAAGAGTAAGTGAAAGGTGCCACTCTAAGGGGACATCAAAATTTGTGAAGAAACTTTCTGGTAAAATAGGGAAGTTGAAATCTTCATGAGCCTGAGTATCTTTGTAAATTAGTTAGGCAAGCTCTATGGCGATCCTCCAAACACGAGAACAAGCAAAGGCTTCACTACTGGCTCCATTACTGTCTGCAAGCAATTAAGCATCGTCCAGTAAATCAAGGGGTGACACGCTGAGCATCTGAATTTTCCAGAAAGTTTTTGGTCATCTATTGTATTTTTTGAGGGAATCTTTCTTGTTCCAACCATATTTGACCTTCTTGAAGAAACAAGAAATGATTGTCTCTTGGCTTTCCAATCCATCTGGCCTTGCATTTAATTTGTTGTAGTCATAAGTTGTAATTATGATGTATCTTAAATCCATTGTTAGAAGTAACCATTACTTGGTTTAACTAAAGCTTGTTTCAAGGATTTATGTTTCACCTTTCTTGTGTTATGCCTTGTCAATAAAAACAGAAAATGCTTCCTTAGACCGAATGGTAATCATGGTTACGAAGATCTTATATATATATATATATATAGATAGATAGATGTAGGATCCTTTGACACCAGTGTCAAATTTTAAATTTGACACCTTATATGATAGCCTTTAGATCAAAAAAGATTAATGGTGTCACATGCTTGCAAATCAGAGTCGTTGATCTTTTTTGATCTAACGGCTCTCAGATGAAGTGTCAAACTTGAAATTTGACATTGGTGTCAAAGGATCCTACCACACACACACACACACATATATATATATGGGTCAGGATCATTTTACACCAGTGTAAGTTACACTCTTAATCTTATCCGTTGATTCAATTTATATCTAAATGCTCAAATTTTCTAGTAATGTGAGTCATTAGATACAAGTGGATCAATGATCAAGATTGAGTGTAAGACTTCTAATTCTTACACCGGTGTAAGAATATCCTGCCCCTTTATATATAGAGAGAGAGAAACGCGGGGGGGGGGGGGGGGGGGTGTTGGAGCAGTAAACTATTATTATACTGTAGATATAGCATAAATTACTACGGACAGTTTTTTTTTTTTTTTTTTTCTGCATAGAAGATAGAAGTTAGAAGTTAGAAGTTAGGGAGATGGGGATCTTAGGCATGTCACTAGTTTCAACGACGGTTTACTACGATACTTAACAGATTATCTACCATTGAATAATGACCAGCAAGTTGAATTAAGTCCATAACAATTTCAACATTAATTTTCTAGTCACTTTTAAGTAATCATTTCGATCTGATTCAATCAAGCAACACAAATCCAAAAACAAGTTTGATTTCTCAATTGAAAGATATCTGCAAGTGATTTAAATGGAAATGAACTACTAAAATGTTCAAGCCACTCCAAAGCTTCTAGCTGAAATAGATTCCTCTTCAAAATGTTTGGATCCTTGTGTGGCTTCTCAAGTAGGCATGAATTCCTTCACGCAGACCTTGCTGCGATCCCCTAAAAAAGTGAGAACGTGATGGGAAGTTGGAGGGAATGTCAGAAAGTCAAAAAAGTGCTTTCACAATCTTTACTTTTTCTTATATGGCTTGAGACCCTGTTTATGTCCAATTAGAAGCGCAAAAGGAATTTTTTTTTTCTTTCGTGTGGTTCCCACCATGTGATTTGTACAACTATCTGCTTTCTCTTTCCACCTTAGTACTTTCTTCGTACCACATCATCTTTCCTTTCTTTTTTACAATTGTCAAAAAAACACCCGCATTTAAAAGAAATCATTTATTTTTGAAAATTATATTTTTCATATTACATGAAATAATTTTATCTTATATACATACAAAAAATAGATGAGATCTATTGTTTTCTTAATTTCTCTTCTCCTTAACTCTGGAGAGGAGCTGATATTTTGATTTTTAACTCTGCATTCTTTATCTTGCTGACAAAGAATGATAATGATGGGCATGATTTCTTCTTCTCCCAGGGGGCGTTTGGTTGAGGAAATTTTTTATGAATGATAGGGAAATGATATTCATAGGAAAATGGTAGGAAATGATAGGAAAGTGAGTTTGGTAGGAAAATATAAAAAAAAGTTGTTTGATAGGAAAAAATTTAACCGGAAAAATTAGGTAACTTTTATAAAGTCTATGTTTGGTTGTAGGTAAAATATAGATGGGAAAAAAAAAACCAACCAACAAAATCCCAAATAGCCATGCAAATGGGGGGAATACCACATCTAAAGTGGGAATATTTTTCCATCAATTTTGATCCAAATAGTCATGCAAATGGGATACCTAGCAAACTCATTTAGGTGGGCAAATTTGAAAGCTTGTCAACCAAACATGGGCACCCAATTTCCCCACTTCACATTTTCCTATCATTCTCCTCAAAAACCTTCAACCAAACACCCCCCACAGAAATCGTTGGTTTTGTTAGGAAAGTTATTGGTGTGTACTCGAGTACGTGGCGGTTGTACTTGAGTAATTCATCTTTCACAAATAGTACTCGCGTATATATGGAGTCTAATACTCGAGTAACTTTGAAAAATGAAATATAATAGAGTACAAATATGAAATACTCGAGTACATAGCTCGATCACCAGTCAAATGGGTGCAGATGGATGAAATATTTTGGTACGAGGGCATAATGGTAATATATATTTTAATCAGGGGCACAATGTTCAAAAAGCCTATAATTTTGATATTGCAAGTAAATTTTACATAATGCATAATGTTAAACCTGAAAATTAAAGTTTGAAAAAGAAAAAGAAAACACAAACGCTCACATATATACATAGTAAAACTTGGATTGAAACTCAGCTGAAGTGGATACCGAGTTAATAGGTAATTATTTCAATCAACAAATCATCATTGCCTAAGAAATATTAAGAAGAAACACAATCATATTTTAAAAAGATGTTGAGTTGTGAACCATAGGATAAGGAAAGTTGAAAATTCAAATGTGATAAGTCAAATTATGAATTAATTAGTAATGGATTAAGTGATGGCCAAAAGATTTATAGACTCAATACATAATCTATGTGGAACGATACTTGGACTCACACATTCACTTTATTACTTGTAACACGTGTACTTGCATATTTGTGTGATCATATTTGATTGCAAAATTGCACAACAATAGCCAGAAAGCACTACTGCCAAAATTGTATTTGCATTAAAGGTCATGAATCTTAATATATTTGGCCACGATGGAGGATGAGGCAATAATGAAAGCATGACAAATGTAAAGAGCATCATCCTCCAAGATATTTATAATTCTTTTGAGTTTTATTATAATTTTAGAAAATATTTTATTGGATTTAGTTGATAAATATCTTGAAAATACTAATTAGGAAATTAATAGCTTATTTTCTTGATTTACTTTGAATTTCTCTTTTCCTTATAAAGAGAATCTCAACAAAACAATACTTTTAAGTTTCTTTTAAAAAAAAAATTAATAAAAAGAAGAGCTTGATATCATAAGCATTTCACTTCTCATTTTAAAAACACATCAAAAAATTTTTCTAAAATTTTTAACCTTTTTTAATTCATTTATATCCTCATTTATAATTTACAACCCTTAAACTAATTAAAATTCTTCTCTTGTGACACTTCTCTTGCTTTTTCTTCTTCTTCATACCCTAGCAGACGTTGTTGTTGTTCAAAAACACAACTATTGCTTTGGAAAAATTTCATTTAAATTTGGGCGTTTATTCATAGAGGAGACTTCTTGGAGTTTCTTGGATTTTAGGTAAAACATTTCTCTTTCTTTATTTTTGTATACAAGAATCATGAAAAATTTTAGGCATTGTTCACATGGGTTTTTATTTTTTTACATGGTTTTTTTCATTTTTTTATGTGGGTTATGTGATGAAAATTAGTTTTGTTTGTTGCACTCAAATTTAAAGTTTTATTCTTATATTTGGTGGATTTACATATACAAAATTTGTAAATTATATTGTAATTTTTTTCTAAAGAAAAGTATTTTGAATTGTGCGAATGATGATTGAGCAATTTTTTTTTTTTTTGGTAATTATGATTGATTGAACATTTTGATTTTTCTTGGAAGAGACATAAGTAATTTGATTAATGCTTAGGTAGAATAATTTGATTCAACATTTAGATTTCTTCTTGAGATTTAAAGTAGCTTTTAATCTAAAATCATATATTGTCTAATATATTTTTTAAATTATTATTCAATTTAACATTGAAATTTCTTTTAAGCTTAAAAAACCAACTAAATAGGCTTTAAAGATATTTTTATTAAAATAAAAAACACAAAAATTGGTATGTCTAAAATTCAAAATATATTTCAATATTTTAAGTAATTGAAAACATTTATTACTCTTTATCAAATGCTTCTTAACTCTAATGTTAAAATTGCGTGCAAAATCGTAGGATCGTACGATCCTACCATTTTTTTTTTCTTTAAACGATTTGAATCGCAACTAGGATTGTTTTCCTCTTAGATCGGAGAGTATCATCAGGTAAGATCGTAAAACCGATGGGATCATATGATACCACGTTCAAGCGATTTGGGTGAAAAAATCCAGATTAACACGATGGAGATCTGAAATAAAAAAACACAGAAGAGGGAAGAGTATTCAAGCGTTAGTTGGGGTAGACCAGATCCCTGCAAGGAAAAGACTCATTTGCAGAGAGAGAGAGAGAAATAGTTTTGCAAAATTTTTTCTTTCGTTTATGAACAACAGTGTGATTAACAAGTGCCAGCTAAAAAACAAAATCGAAAAGTTGTTTTCAAAATTGGATATACGATCACATTCATTGATACATGTTTCAATCTTATCTTGCATTTTTTTTACATATTCTAAGTTGTAAATTTTGACTTTCAATTTTATTATTTTTATTTTGTTGGAATTAGCAGAATTTTTTTTTGTATAATTAATAAAAAATAATTATTAAATTATTCTTTATAATTTGATAATTTTTATTAAACATTGATTTTGATTAATGGTTATTGTATAAATTTGAATTAATATAGATTAATTGTTATTGTATAAGTTGGATTAATTGTTATTATATATATATATATATATATATATATATATATATATAAATATAATTTTATATATTCATGTGATTTTAATATTTTATATGCATAGTTACGATTTTACAATCCGTGTCGATCTTACGATTTACGATTTACGATCTTTTTACCCCTTCCCGATCTTAGGTAAGATCTCGAATTTAACAACATTGCTTAACTCATTTTATTTTAATTTTAGAAAATATTTTATTGGATTGTTGATAAAATATCTTGGAAATACTAATTAGGAAATTAAGAGTCTATTTGCTTGATTTACTTTGAATTTTTCTTCTCCTTATGACAAGAATCTCAACCAAAAAGAGAGAGATTCTTTTAATGAAAAAAGAGAGAGCTTACTATCATAAGCATTTTACTTCTCATTTTAAAAACATGTCAATTTTTCCCCCTGCAAATTTTAATTTTTTTATTTCATTTATATCCTCGTTTGTAATTTATAAC